GTGCCTGTGCACACGTGCCTGTGCACACGTGCCTGTGCACACGTGCCCATTATATATATGCACACACCATGACCAACAAAGTAAAAGAAATAAAAGCTTTTAAATGACAAAATATAAAGTACGACAAACCCACAGAAGTTCTAGAGGAGAACATGGGAGGCTATTTTTGGTAATAGGAAATAAAATAGTTTGTAAGCACACAAAGATGCTCATTAAAGAAATTAAAGTCATTCTGACTAACTTGCATTCTCACGTTTAATTTCTTAGTACTGCACATCAGTTCCTCTGTGGCATGGACTGACGGAAAGCCTCCCTGCCTTGTTCCTGACTTCAGTGGGAATAAATACTGTGTTTCATTATAATGCATATGGCTGACTTTGCTGTAAAACATCTATTTAAAAATTTTCCAAATTAAATATTTTATTATTGGTGGTGCTGGATTTACAAAAATTATCAGCATCACTTAAAGCAGCATACTGTTTTTTTCCCTTTGCTCTAGAAACATAGTCCGCTGTATACATTTTTTTTTCTATTGCTATACCCTTTCTATATTCCTGAAATAAGTCTCCTTAAATTTGGCATGTCATTTGTAAGACAGCGCTAGGTCTCATTTGTTTTAGTATTTTCTGTCTTTTTTTTTTTTTTAAATAAAAGCATAGTGTTTTCAGAAAGATTAACCTGTAGCTTTCCCTTTTGTGATTCTGGTTTTATTTTTAAACCAGCCTTTCAGTTTCTCCCAAACAGAGGGGATTACTTGTAGTAAGACGCCTTGAGGGCAGACACCTGAAATGGCTTCATTCAAAAGAAAAAAAATGCTCACAACATCGATGCCTGTCCACTTCTGCGGACGTTTACAGCCACCATTTTCTCTGTCCCACTAGTTTCTGTTCTGTTGACCCTTCTTTCTGACAGGTCACAAGCTATCTCGAGCTTTATGGCTGGTTCTTTTCTTTCCAATAAATGTATCAATTTTCTTTCAATGGCAAACAGAGGCAAGTGTTCTGTTTTTGTTCCTCCAGACCGGCCTCTCCCTATCTTACCTCCTCCCTGATAAATGAACCGAAACATTCAAAACTGGGGGAAGGGCTCCGAGTATTCTGTCTCCACTCAGGCAGGCTGGCCTTGCTCTGTTATTTACTGACCAGACTCTTTCCTCCCGCTGCTCCCTAGTTTATGTGGTTCCCCTGAGCTGCCTTCATCCTGGTACTTAGCCTTCAGAGCCCAGATTAAATTCCGTCCTTCATAACGTTTCTTTTGCTGCCTTACTCAGGGCTGGCTAAACCTTTTGGCTCTAGCTTTTAAATTGTTTCTAGGGTGCTAGCTTTCTCCCTCAGGTTTCATGTTTAGCTCCTCGAGGACAGAGACCTTAGACTCAGGCGGTGCATGGTTCATGGAGTTAGAGGGATCATAGTCAGTGCATGCTTGCAAGGCATATTTGAAGACATCCATCACAGTTATTCATTTGCTAAATGAGATAATGAAAACTCAAATAGTAGCCAAAGGTAAATCATTAATTAATTCCCTCATTCATCACACCTGTACCAAACCCTTGGGGCTAGGGAACCTGGGATTGCAGCTTGCCTGGAGAAGCTACATGAGCCTCATGCTTCCATTTTGAGAAGATCCATGAAGTAAATAAAGATCCATGGGGGGGGTGTCTTAGACAAAATTAACCGCGCATGCGTTAGTGTAATAGAATGTTATGCAGTACTTTCCAGAATAACGAAAAACTTTGGAAACCCAGACCACAAGGTGCTATTCTGTTCATGACTTCCTCGACAACAGTTGAAAATTTAAAATGCTTTCTTTAGTTTGCAGGAAAGAAACCACTATAAGGATACGCCTTCGCCACGCTGAAGTGTGTCTAGAAAATAGTTTATTAATCACGTTCTTTTCCTGGGAAAATTTAAACGTTGGGATTATCAACTTTACAAAATAACAGGACAAGAATTGCCTTGGTTTTGACGGACACAGGAGCCTCTGTGTTTTCCGGGGGGTGGGGGGACGTTTGGGGACTGTGCTGCCACTGCGCACCCATGGAAGTCTCCCCGCAGCTGTGGGAACCTTGCGGAGCTGTTTCCACCGCTCGCTCAACCCACGTTTGGGTTGCTGCGTAGCTGGGGGAGCTGGCACGACGACGCTGGCTCTCTCTGCTTTCTCCTCGGCCGGCCTTTCAAAGCCCGGGGTCGCGCCGAGAGATCTGGAAGCCAGGCTGCGCGGAGGGGGAGGGGTCACCTAGATCGCTCTGGCAAGGAGTTGGCCGCTGCGCGTTAGTCACTTTCCACACCGCGCGCCTCGGACATAGTTTCTGAAGTTGGAGAAGTAACTGTGAGGTTTTCTACTCGGTCCGGGCAACGCAGGAGCGCGTCCAGTCACAACAGCAGAACTTGGCTGCGGCGCCATCAACCTGAGCGCGGGGCTCAGTTAAAAGATGAGCCAGGCGCCCAGGCTCAAGGCACCGGTTGTCAATGGCAACAGGGGCGCCGGTCTCCTCCCCGTGCCTCCCCCAGCGTTTCAGTCCCTAGAGACGGGGCGGGGGGCGGGGCCCGCCAGGCGGACCAATGAGGAGGAGCGGAGCGCAGGGTCTGAGTCCCGCGGGCCTGTCCGGGCGCGGGCGGGGTTGAGTGACAGGCCAGGGGCGGGGCCGGTGCGTCGGGCCGAGGAGGAGCTGCGCGGCGCGAGG